CCAACTTCAGTCACGACAGCGCCACAAATTAGCATCCGTGAATATTGAAATTTTCAGGAAAATATAAATATTTCTGTCAATTGTATGCTAAAAGAAAGTGCAGGCAAAACTTAAGTTATAAAAAAAAAAATGTGGAGAGATTGTAAAGGGCCACAAAAATCTGAACCATCTTCAATTTTATATATTCGACGTTTTGTAATTATTTTATCATTTTTCATATTATTGGGATCCGTTATAGTATTAGTTTTAAAAATATCTAAGGAGCAGCCTAATATTAGTACTACATTTATATCTGTAGATAACTTACCCGCCCCAGGTACAATAAAATTAACTCAAGTTAAAATGACCTTATCAGGACTGCTTTCAAAGTTCATGTTTATCACTGCCTCTGCATCTAATAGTCCAAAATTTCACTTCGAAGTTTATATGAAACTTGGGCACATGACAAATAGAAACTTTTCTAACAAAGTGACTCTTCAGAATTATAATTTACATAGTTCTGAAGAATCAAATGATAGATGCTGGGCAGTGACCATAACAAAGTTTTGGATTATATTGATTTAATGTATCTTTTAAATGTCAAATACAGCAATATATCTTGGCTTTAAATTCAATTTTACCATTAACTGTTTTTTATATAATAGCTATGATGGAAGTAAGTATTCAATTATACAATTTTAATATATGTTAATATGTGATAACACATTGTTAATACATGTATTAATGTTTGATTTAATGTGAAAGCAGATAATTGTAATAATTATGTTACGCAACCAGAAAAAATTGATGATGACAATTACCCTTTTACTGGTTATTTTTATCCAAATAAAAGCATAATATTGCATAAATATGAAGATGAAAAGGGGCCATATTTTGTTTTTCTTGATATTAGAATCGTGGATTCTAATTTCCCTAAAATTATTAATGATTCTACTCAAATATCATCATTTAGGATGATAGCATACGATTCAGGTATGGTTTTTTTTTTAAAACATTAAAATTCTCACCTCAATTTTGCTATTTTGATTATTTTGATGCATTAAATATATGCTATTTCAATGCTTGTAGAAAATGACTACAATATACAGAATAAACAATTTGATTCTGCATCTCATCAAATAACTCCGTTTGAGCAATCACTTTACTATATGAATAAATATACTTTGACAAGTGGCTATGTATGTATGTATAATATTATTTATTATAATGTTTAAATCATAATTTAAAAAATTTTTTTAAAAAATTACTAGATATATAAGTTTGGTTACAGCAGAAACTTTAGAACATCTCTCTCTAAAAGTTTACTAAATTATATTGGCATTCCAATATTGCAGTCCCCAAGACCATACATTGAATCTATTATACGTTAGAATAGATCTTATTTTAAGATGCTTAAATTTAAACCTTTTAGGTTATTAACATTATTTAAATTATAAATAGAACCTGTTCCAATGAGTCCTTCGAATACAAATAATATAACATTACGTGTTAGTCCAAGTAGCATTATTGTAAGAGAAGAAAAAGAACAAAGGTATTACAAATTAAACTTATATAAAGTTAATTTTTTTTTAATGATTTTTTAACTGCATATTAACACTATCACTATATAAATATATAATGATAATAGACACAGTACGGTAAGTAATAAGATTGATATTTTAAGTTTCCAATAAGTTATACATTCTTATTTATATAATTAAATATATGTACAATCTATGATAAACAGGTTCTGAACATAATTGGAACCGTTGCTGCTTTTTATAGTGTTCTTGCGGTTTTTTATATATTTCTATTTGGTATTATTATTATTATTATTATTATTATTATATGTTATAAATATGGTTTGTTTTTAACACAAAAAAAAGCCTAAATTATTCTTATCCAAAAATTTTTAGGTGTCGATTCAATAAGACTTTGGGGAGTTGTACATTCTGGATGTTGTGGATTAAGAAAATTTAAAGAGAAAACTAAAGATGAAATTGATAAGGATCTAGAACAAGTGATAAAAATTTATAAAAATAATTCGAATAATCAAGATTTTCAAGCAAGTAACCAAGATTTGCCAGAAAGTGGTCAAGATTATCAAGATTTACGATTAATTACAACTAGAATTGAAGAATTGGAAAGATTTAGATGTTTTATTGAAATGAATGTTATTAAGACTAAACCATGGAAAGGTTGAAAAAAGAAAAAAGGGGAATATGAGATTAAAAAAATAATTTACAAATTTTCTATTTCAAATTAATTGGTCAATTATTAAACTTAAACTAGTTTTTTAATTGTTCTGTTAATTGGAAAGAATTAGATAGAAATGATATGAACAGAATTTGAGTAAATATTATTATACAGTAAAATCTAATAATAAATTTATTTTATTTTTCTATATAAAATTTTGTTTTTAGTAATTAATATATGCTACGTAATAAGAATTCATCGCTTGTCTAACAGTAATATATATTATAATGGGTGCAATTTGCAAACAAAACGATCCTAACTTTAACGTGGAAAAAAAACACTCTAGTACTTAACTAACAAATTTTTTTTAAAAAAGCATTTAAAGAATGTTTTATATAACTTTTGCTTGTATTGCAGTATTTTAAATTTTTATTTAATATTTTGATCATCTATTACTAAGTTATAATTTTATAGTAAACTTATTCAAAGTTAAAATCCAAATTCGAGATTTCTGATATCTTTAGGTAGAATCTACTGTAATAGATTTTTTGAAATTTTTTAATTTTTTTAATATTCTAAAATTATATATTTAAAACCTTGTCATAATAAATATTAAAAAATATCTGTAATTATCGTAAATAGCCGTATAAGTACTTTCCCCATAGTAGAGCCTCCTATATTATACCCGGTTCTAAACCAGGATTTAAAAATTTAGTAGAAGATAGGAGCCTTGGGTTTTTGCTATAATTTATATTTAACAAGAAGAAATACGTCCATTACTATACACTTCTCCAGGTAATATGCCCTTGGGTATCATACAAGTTTTTTTTATATTATACTTGATTTATCCAATCAAAATTTAGAATTTGCTAACACACAGACATCAGGTATACTATTTCTCCGGTTGCTGTGCCCTTCGGATAATTATTGAACACATTGTGATGGTGAACCTAAGCATAAATTATTCGGCAAAAATTTTTGAATAACGCACGTGTCAGCAATAATTTGCCCGGTTGAACCAAATTACCATTATTCAAAAATTTGCGTTATCCGACACTTTATGATCATGATTTGTAGAGAGTTGTCGGCTGAATTTTAATTTGAGTAAACGTGAATATTTATTAATACATGAAATAAATAACAGACAGAAATAAATCCATGATCATAAGAGTTTGTCGGATAATGATTTTTTATTGGATGTGTGGTGATTGATGCTTTTACCGATATATTTAATCTAGCCTTAACAATAAGGTTTTTATTTTATATATTATTATCGGTGGAAAATCACACATAGAGCTTAACGTTAACATTATAGTAAAACGCAAAGTAATGTTAGCCCCTGATCGGCGAAATGCAGAGATGGCAAGATATTAACCACTATCTGAGTTTTCTCTTGGCGACATTCTTATTAACTTCAGGGGTTAAGCAGATAAATAATAAAACAAACGTTGACAAGTGAAAACCAGGAATAAGGATTATTTTATAATAATATGCATATATTTAGATTGATTGGTTTTCACTTTGCAACACAAATAATAAATTTGAAAACTCGAAGTATAGTTTTTCCCTTAGCGGGGTTCATATAGTATCGAAATAAATTTAGAAAAGCATTCTTTAATATATCTGGAGGCTGTATTATGTATTTTTGACGCTCCGTTTCCTGCGTCCAAATTCAAAATGTCTAAGCAAATATACACCCTCATAAAACAATACATAATTATATGCAGTTTAGGTATTAAAATTTTTTTTATTTAATGAATTAAATTAAGTGATGTGATAAAACATTAGTATTTATTTTTAATATAACATATCAAACGTGTCAAATGAAACACTGGAAATTGATCGGATATATAGTAAAGTGGTACGGAAACGTAAATTAGGACGGACATGTAGAAATTATGATAGTACGCACGGTTTGTAAAAGGTAAAACCCAAATTACTTTTCCTATAAATCCTAACATAAAAAAAGGACAATACTAGCGCTCATCCTAACCCTAACCATCAAAGGGTTATTTATAAAAATTGAAACTTGCAAGTCTATATTAACCGTACGTACGATCAAAATTTGGTATAATTTTCGTATGCCCATCCGAATTTGTACTACTGCCGTACAGTACTACTTTACTAAATACCTAAATTGATCTACAGGGGATCGTTTTAAAATTCTGAATACGTACGTACGTGCGGGTCACTATAACTATGTGCATCACTACCTTAAATATACGGGTTTCTATCATTTTCCCGACAAAAATTGACCGGAACTAACATTAACCCTAACCTAATGCGGGCTAACTTGTCTGGATTTTGAAAGTGGTTGTCGGGAAAATGATAGGATCCCAAGTAACACACTAATAAATGTGCAATTATGAAAATCAACTAAACAATTACAAAATTCGTTCAGTTAATGTATGCGACCGATCTATGCTACCTATAAATTTTTTGCCATTCTTACTAAGGGCCACATTATAATTCCGTTAAACTGGTATTTAAGAGTTCTCTGTAATATATAGATTTGCTGGGGATTATATACGAACTTTTACAAAGCATGTTATAATTACAATAAAACATTAATAAATATATAGCGATAGTGAATTTTAAAATTCGGTTAATTACTGTTGCGGATGATACTGAAAATAAAAAAAAAACCTATTTGTTAAATTATATATATTATTAGTCTAATTATAACAAATCAGATTACTGAATTTCCAAATTTCATCAGAGATCTACGAACTTTACAAACAAAAAAAATAAATAATTCTTGAAGCCGCTAAACCTATCTTATTTCTAGTGCTTTTACTAACTTATTCTAATATAGCATTAAAAATATATGAACAAAAATAAATTAGAAATATGGTTAATTCGGGAAATCTTTTAAATTAGCATGTATTATTATTACGGAAAATCGATTTATAGTATAAAAAGCACTGATGACATAAACATTCAATACCTAGAATCCAGAGTTAACCAAATAGAAATAGAAAATAAGAGTCATCCACTACACGATTATATAATAAAGTATACGATATTATAAATACGAATTAGATAGACGTGCAAAAATTTCATACACAGGGTTTACAAAAAAAGGAATTTGATTGAAAAGATTATATTATTTACCTATATTCAGTGCTTACCCTAACAAGAAAAAGGACGACCCTAATTCAAATCTTTAAAAAGAAAATACTTAAAGTTAATATCTCATACGTGTGCATTTGCAATTTATGTGCTAAATCCTATTGTTATTACACTACCAGCTTACATACGTACGTAATAGAGAGCATACATAATAAAAAAATCAATGTTTATTTATTATCAGCAACCGTGAATACTTTTAGGAGAATATAAATATCCTCTATGTCGAATGTTAAGAGAAAATTAAGTAAAAATTCTGCGCTTATAAAAAATGTGGAGAGATTTTATAGGAACACAAAAATCTGAACCACCTTCAATCTTAAAAATTCGACGTTTTGTAATCATCTCATCATTTATCATACTATTAAGTTCCATTATATTATTATTTTTCAAAATGTTTAAGGAAGAACCTATTATTAGTACTACATTTATGCCTGTAGATAATTTACCCGCTCCAGGTACAATAACACTAGCATTTTTTTCAAGTTGAAAATGATTTCGTTCTGGTATGCCACTGCTGCTGCATCTATAAACTTTCACTTCAAAATTGAAGTAAAAATTCTGAACACGTGATAAATGAATGCTTATCTAGTATGTCTTTTAAATGTCAAAATACAGCTATATACCTTGGCTTTAAATTCAATTTTACCATTAGTTGTTCTCTGTATTATAGCTATGATGGAAGTGTGTATTTTATTATATAATTCATGTGTTTATATGTGTTAATACGCATACTAATTTTATTGATGTTTGATTTAAAATGATTAAAAGTGAAAGCAGATAAATGCGATAATTATATTACACCACTAGGACTGATTGATGATGAGAATTATCCTTTTGCCAGATACTTTTTTCCGGGAAGAGAAATATTTTTGCATAAATATGAAGATGAAATTGGTCCATACTTTGTTTTTCTCGACATTAACATCGTG